GGGGCGGGCCCCAGCCATTTAAATTTAAATGAAGCCGCGATTATTTTAATCGCGGCTTCATTTCCCTTTTCCGATCTGGCTAATCTACATGCCTCCGTCGAAGGAGGCATGTAGTCTAGACACACCCCTAGTTAAAAGTCCAGTCTTTCCCCTTTTGAAATCAACAGCTGTTTTGTCATTGGCTTAAATGGAATCAAGTTTGGGTGCTACATGATTTCCAGAAAACACTCAGCCACATTAGGATTTTCCTGGAATATCTTGGCCTGGTGACCCACCTGGCTCGCGCTAAACTTTCCAAGAGAAATTGCAAAATTCAGATGACCCAGGAGAAATTTATTTATCTTCCCCTTCCTAAGTGCTTAATGATGTTTCCCTTATTATTTCTGAGATTGCCAGCTGTGCCTCATGGTGTTTAGCAATTTCATCCCTCACTGGTGCTGCCATAGCGGGGCTGATTTTCTAGAGTTATTTGCAGATTTGAATAATTGATTGCATGTGATATGAAGTCACTGCTCATCAAGGGTCCTATTCGTCCCTGCATGGGGATAGCTGGGTAAAGGAGAACAGACTGAGTTGCAGCAGTGTGAGGGTTTTTTCCTCCCTCTGTAGAAGACACTGTAAATCCCCCAAGATTCTGAGCAGGTTTTCCCAGCTGTGAAATGAAGCCAACAGAGGTCTATCCACCAGGGAGTCTGTAAAGCTTAAGTAATGGCAACATTTTCAAAAGCCACTTTTGAGCCTTGGGTGCTGCATCTGAGACACCATGGATCTAATTTGTGACGGTACAGAGGGGGCACTATTTGAGCTAAAGTCAACGGGAGCCGTGGTTGCTCAGAAGCAGTGAAAATCATGCTCTTCGGTGTCTCCAAATGAGCACCTAAAAACGGTGGCAGTGAAAAGCAGAGCCCAGTAATGAATATTTCCCCTTATACTTTTTGAAGTGTTTTGAGATCATGGAATGGAGGATGCCATGAAATGCAAAGTGTTCGTCTTTCTTGCAAAGCAACTGGGTGGCCTGACTCAGTCATCCAATGCCTGCAAGGAGGTTAGATGGCAAAACTTTTGTAAATACAACTTTTCTGGATTTTGTGATACATCGTGGTGAGGAAGCTTAGCCTCAGAAATAGTCATCTGGGATTTATGTCCTAGTTAGAGCTGTCTGCAAATGCCCCGAGGGCTTGGAATACTCCCTGGAAATGTTCTTGTTGGGCAAATCTCACTTTCCCATAGAAATTTTAAAAATGTAAGAAAGCAATTTCCCCCCAACTTTCCTATTATTCTCAACTTTTTTTCACTTGGGAAAGCATTTAAAAAGAGCGACAACTTTTAAATGTAACTTTCACTCTGAAGTGTTGCACTTAATTCACATTTAAGAATTATGTGCTTTCTCTCTGAAAGTAACATTTTCAACCCTTTGTTCCTGTTTTCCAGCTGGTAAAAGCTAGAAAACTCAAAATGGGGGACAGGAAGTGACAACTTTTAAAATGTATATGTTAGAAAACTGAAAAATTCCAGGCTTTTTCCTGAACATTTTTTATTTCAAAAAAAGTCACAGGATTTCCTCCAAATAGTTCATATTTTTCAGAAAATGAATAATTCGGTTGAAAAATATTTTTTCTGGGGAAAAAATGTTTTTGACAAACCCCTTTTTTCTGACCAATCATTCTCCCACCCCCGTCCCCCAAACATCTTTTTGTCATAAAATTTGTGACCAAGTTCTTCTCCTGATCTCACTTCCATCCTGATAGCAAATGGCTGGAAACATTTTGATACCACTAATATTTTGGTACTCCTAGACAGTCTAGGGTAGATCTTCAGCGGACCTTCTGGCTGGGAGGTTGGTTGGAGAAGTGGGCTGAGGGTGGAGGAGCATCTGGGTGGGAAGTAGAGTGCAGGAGTGGGGGGTCTGGGCATGAAGGGGCACTTACCTGACTCCATGCACCCCACTGCTCTCAGGCACCACCCCACACTGCTCCCATTGGCCACAATTCTAGCCAATGGGAGCAGCAGAAAAAGCCTCCAGGCAAGTGACTTCCTGCATTGCCATTCTTGCAGCCAGGGAGAGGGGAAGTGGCAGTGCATGAAGCCGCTTCCTTCCCCTGCAAAAAGATCCAGCCCATGCGGCTTGGGCCCCGCCCTACAACAGCAAGCCCCGAGCCTATAGCTCACCTGCAAGATGGCCACAGACCACACTTTGAGGTAGGGATGTTAAATATTGGTTAATTGAATAGTCAACTAACCTCATGAATTCTTATCGGTTAGTGGACTATTCTACAGTCCCTGGGGGTGGGCCAGCAGCCAATGCACTCTGGCCTCTCTCCCGAGAAGCCCCCTGCCACTCCGCGCTGCTGCTACTGTACCAGAGACAGCAGCGCGGGGGGCCGGGTGGGAGCTGGTCCACGAGAGGAGTCAGTTTAAAAACCAGCTTCCCGTGCAGACCTACTGCCTGTCGCCCTGTGCTGCTGCCTGTGATAAAGGGGCAACGACATGGGATGGCAGCAGCCCCTGTCTAGGGTGGTCTGAGCTCCCGGACCCAACGTGAGCCAGAACTGAGCTGGGCTGCCTGCCCGCCCGGCTCCTAATATGCTTTAAATGCAGAGCCGCAGCAGGGGTAGGTCTTGGACCCATTGCAAACCAGGACTGAGCCGGGTTGCTGGCCAGCCTGCTAAAAAATGTACTGGCAAGTGTGTGTGGGGGGGGAATGCGTGTAGTCTATAGCATTAACTGATAAGCTTGTGCTTATCGGTTAATCAACTACACTTTTACATCCCTGCTTTGAGAACCACTGCATTATCCTGGGGGGCACAGTTACTGATTTTTTTAAATGCTCCAAGCTACCTTTGTGTTATTTTGTAATATATACAGTAACCCACTGTTTTTAATAGTCACTCGCACCCACTATATCTAAGTCTTGGTTCCAAAAGGGGGCCCCAACCCATGCTCAGTGGCTTGCTTAACCTGTTTTCTCATTGTGATGGATAGGAGGCATGCTGGCCAGCACCCGGTGACTAAGGGGTTAAACTCAGGTAGCTAGCAACGGTGTTGGCAGGTGTCCAGAAGAACCAATGGGAAAACAGTGCTGAAATTTGAATTGTATTTAGAATTGTACCTGGCTTGCTCTCTCTGTGCGATTCTAAGTTAAGGGGTAGAGGGAGCAGATGCAGTAATCAGACTTACCATGCCCATAAGAAATATTGGACATGGGTGTGAACTGGACCTTGAAGTACAAATCAGCACAAATCATGAGTAGAGGGAAAACGTGTATCTAGTCACAACCAGGTATTTTTCTGTATTTTGTTATTTGGTTTAAAATTCTCTGTGTGAATCCATGCCTTCCCTCCCCCATTCACTACCTAAGACTTGTTCCCAGAGATTTCCTCTGTGTTTTAATTTGTTTTGCATAGTTGCTCTATAACACCTAACAACCAAGCACACTTTATCAAGTATATCTTTTGTTTTATTAATAAAAATCACCTTTTTTAAGGCCATGATTTGATTCTTGTGTCCTGGAAAGTAACAGGAGGTCTGGGTGTGTGTCTGCCTGCCTAAGACTGAGCGGTCCGCTACTAGAGACTGCAGCTTGTTTTTCTCTCTTCAAGCTCTCTTGGGGCAAAAGAGCTTGGGGATACCCCTGGGGAAGGAATTCAAGTGTTCCCTCCTCTTTGTTTTTTCAGGGTTAAATCACTTCATGGTGGCAGCTTTTGTTTTTTTCTCAGAGCCGGTGCATCAGTGACTGTGGGGAGTTTTTAAAAGCAGAGCCTAAAGAGGCAAGATATTTAAGTTCTCTTGTGGGCCCTACCTCCTGCATTCAGGGTGCCAGAGTGGGGAACAG